GGAAATGATCTCCTTCACATTTCTTATTTGCATCAGTGGAAACCCAGAACATTTCTGTCATTCTACCCTTCACAAAATGCTTTCCACATATTAATATCAACTAAGTTTCACATCGATCCCTCGACATGGGTATAACCAGTATTAACTTCAATTTCACTTTACAGATCAGGAAAAGAGGTTCAATGAGATCGAATGATTAGCCCAAGATCACAGAGCTAGCTACTGCAAAGCTGGGTCAGGAATCCCGGTCGTCTGGCTCCTTCTACAGTGCTTCCTCCCACCAACCTTCCCCCTCAAATGACATAGCTTTTGGGTTACCTTCGCCTAGCAGGAACCTAGTTTACAAAATCGTAAGTTAATGGTTAAACATCCTTTCCCCTGCCAATGTTCATTGCTGCTGAGGCTTCCCCTTTCCTGGACCGGAGTCACCTGGGGTTGCCCAGGAATCACCCCAAGCAGCCCCCGGTTTCTTCTCCCACTTAACCTCAGCCCCACGGTCCTACGGCTAGAGAGCGAGAACCGAGGCCTCTGGGGCAATGAGACAGCGAAACCACCGGGGTCGGGAGGCTCCCCCTAGGTTTCCTGGTCGCGGGCCCCGCGGGCTCCGGTCCAGCTGGAAGCCCGGGAAGGGCTCGGGCGCACGGGTCTCTGCCCGGCGCGGCGGTTGGGTCCGCACCTTGAAGGCCAGGGTGGTGGTTCCATGAAGCATTTCGATTCCCGGCTCCTCCGCGACACCCCAGTTGGGCGCGACGAGGCTCAGCCCATCGCTGGGACTCCCTGGACCCAGGTCCAGCAGATCCACACGACCCCCGAGTCCGAAATAACCGTGCCCGTTCACCGGTAGCGGCCTCTCCAACACGCTGGCCAGCGCCATGTCTAGTAAGGGCACAAGGAATTCCCTGCGAGAAGGCCTATCAGAGAGCCGCCGGGCAACGCCTCGCCGTCACAGCTTCACTTCCTATTAAAAGTATCTCGGGAGGAGCCATTTTAACTCCTGGCAACCACGCCTCCAAAAACAGGAGCCAGACGCCAGGGACTATTTTCACCGATGGGGGGGGGGGGCGGCGGAAAATAAATGGCTTAACTTCCTCTAAATATTAAAAGGATGTTGTTGTCATCTTAACTTTGGTCAAGCAAGCAATACTGGATTAAATTCACTTTCAAGTCATAGGAAGCGATCGGAAACGTCCGTGTTGCGTGAGGGAAGTGAAACCGGCCATCTTTGAGAAGGGCGTGACTAGTTGAAAATTCTTTCAGAACCCTTAACTCCAAGGCGTCCCCGCCCTGCCTGGTGTCCAAGCAATACTTTACATCTGTGCGGCTTTAGCATCCTATTAACGCAACTGAAGTTGGCATTTTGTATAAGGGCACCATGTAATACTCGGTAAAATAATGATGTACTTTGAGGCCACTGTCCTGTGAAGTTAGTTAAAACTACAGTATTTTGTGGTAAAAATTGCAACAAGATAAAAGTGCTATGTATGCTGCGTCTTGTTTGATCGCCACACTACTCAAATTCTGGAACATAACCAATTTTTAAGATTTAATATTCTCTTTACTCCCACACTGTGGTGAAAATTCGAATAAGTAATGTATTGCCTAAAAGGCAGACGGATAAAGAAGGAAACGTATGGGAATCAGTTAATCCACAAACTAGGTTCTCAACTCAGCTCTAACAGAGTCAATACTCATTTACCATCTCAGAGCCTAGAGGAGGGTTGATGCTTCATAAAGATGTACCAAGAGGTTCTCTAACTTAAGCTTGCTAAGACAAGCTCTTTATTAATACAGGAATGTGGTATATATCCTTGTCTCTCCCTTTCTGCACCCATCTTCATTTTTCAACCCTTTTAGGACCCATAACAAACAAGGAAGTGGACAAACGTATGAAATGTTAGTCCTGCTTTAAGGTTCTATGAAGTTAGTGTCTGGCCTTCCTTGTTGGATTTCAGCAGCAACATCCATCAATATCTAAATTCCACTTTCCTCTGATGCCCAACTCAGCCCCTCCTCTTCCCCAGCAGACTCTGCATATGTTGTATTTTTAATGCTGAAATTTGGCAACCTTTTCCAAGCCCAACCATCAGAATGTAATGACGCAGAAGATCTTTATCTGCGTCTCACACTTGGATGGTGTGGAAAATGCAGAGTGCCTTTGTTTATAGAGCAGGTATTATTTTATGGTCCCCCATGCAATGCAACTAGTCCTCCTTCTGAATTTTCTCTGTGGTTTGTTCACACTGCTACTAATAGCATTTATACCTTTCTTTTTTCTTTAAGATTTCATTTATTTATTAATGAGAGACACAGAGAGAGAGAGAGGCAGAGACACAGGCAGAGGGAGAAGCAGGCTCCATGCAGGGAGCCAGATGCGGGGCTTGATCCTGGGACCCCAGGATCACACCCTGAGCCGAAGGCAGACTCTCAACCACTGAGCCACCCAGGCATCCCATTTGTACCTTTCTTAAGACGCTTTCACATTTTGCCTGGCTGTAAGTGTACATTTGTCTCCTACTTGATTATGAGTTTCTAAAGACAGGTATTTCTCTACTATTCATCTTTGTGCCCACTGTATACTTAGTAAATGCTTGCCAAGTGAATCCATGAGAGGATGACAACAATGTTCTTCCAGTTGCAGAGATTTGAAGTTTTGGCCATCTTTGACAACTCCTCTTCTTTTCTATCACATTCAGTAAGTTGCCAAGTCCTGTTGATTCTTCCTCTATAATGCTACTGATGTTCTTTTTCATTGCAACTGATACCACCTTTGACTTCTTATTTCCTACTCCTGAATTACTGAAATATTTTCCTGATTTTCTGGGCTCAAACTGTACTCTCTAATTTATTTTGCACAGCACCCTAAAACACCCTCTCAATCTTATCACATGCCTGCTTTAAAATGTTCTGTAAAATTCAGCTCCTCAGCATAGCATTCAAGGCCTTCCTTAATCTGTTTCCAACTTACCTTGTATTAGTTCTCTAGATAGATAGATAGATATATGTATATCATCTATCTATACGTATTGTATCTGTATATATAGATATACGTCACACAGAGAAAGAAAAATACTGTATGATCTTACTTACATGTCAAAACTAACAAAGCTAAACTCCATAGAAACAGGGAGGAGATCGGTAGTTACTGGGGGTTGTGGAGTAGGGGAGCTGGGGAAATGCTGGTCAAAGGGTACATACACACTTCCAGTTACAGGAAGAATAAGTTCTGGGAATCTAATGTGTAGCATTGTGATCCAATAGCTAATGATGCTCCATTGTATATTTGAAAGTTGCTAAGAGAGCTGATTTTAGATGTTACCACTACCACCACAAAAACGGTTAATTATGTAAAGTGAAGGTTGTGTTAACTAACCTTATTGTGGTAAACATTTTGCAATATATGCATGTATCAAATCATCACAGTGTATACCTTAAACTTTCACAATGTCATATTTCCATTTTATCTCAATAAAGTGGGCGTGGTGGGGGAATGATCAGTGTTGTGGTTCAGAGGTGAGAGAGGAGATCAGTATAGCTTGGGGTGAGGTGGGGAGACCAGGAAAGCCTTGCTAAGGAGGTGTGGATTCATATCCCTAAATACCACTTGGGTCCCATCGTCCCTCAAACCAACAGCCGCCCCTTCTCTCAGACCATCCTCGGGAAGCGTTTTCAGAATAGATGGCACTTAAGCCAGGCTTTGTAGGACAGGATTCAAATAGATGAAGGAGAGAGGCACCTGGCTGGCTCAGTCGGTAGAATGTGTGACTTTTGATCTTGGAGCTGTAAGTTCGAATCCCACATTGTATGTAGAGATTACTTCAAAATAAAATCTTTAAAAAAATATAGATGAAAGAAATACATGAAGGGGAGGTGTGTGAGATGTGTTAGGAATAGTGTGAAAAGAGGTTGTGGTGGGTGGATCAGGATTGGACTATATGGGCCTTAAATGTCAGCCTGGGAAGAAGGTGGTTTGGGTTTAATCTTGTAGCCCTTCAAGGTTTTTTAGTAGAGGACACGGGATTTGAATGATACCTTAGGAAAACATGTCAGATAAGATTAGAGGGGAGTCTAGGGGGTGGCCAACTAGAAGGCCATTCAACTGTCCAGATCTGACTTGAGAATGGTTTGACCTAGGGAGATGACAATCCATCCATTAACATAGCATCTAAGGCTTAGTCTTTAAAAACAGGAGACACACTTATCTCTCCAATAAGATTCCCGTGTGGTCCTGTGCAAAAGAAGGGAGAAAGACTGGTTGGACTTTAGTGTGGCCTCCTGGTTTCTCCAGTCTTCCCATGACATATTTGCATTTGCCCTTAGTACTGACTCTATTGTGCCACCATCACGGTATCTGGAGGGTCTAGGCTCTCTCCCTTGTGTATGAGTCTGTTGGACTAAACCAATTCCCACTGCACCCCTCTGAGCTACAGCCTTTAGTAAAATATACTCCAGATGGTGCCAGAAAGTAGTTGCAGCTTGTCACTAGGCCCCAGTCTACTTTATCTTTCTGAAGGGCCAGCTGTCAGGGTCTACTAACCCCACCCCTTGGCCCACCCCTGGTTGATGCAAGACTTAGACTCAGTATTATGGGGACAAGGTCAGTTGTTTCTCTTGCCTTGGAACTACAAACAGCTTTCTTGCTATTGTGAACTACTGGACAGAAGGCATAGGGCCAGGCCGTTAGATACTTTTGGCCACATCCTCAGAACTTTCACACAAACAGAGATGAGAGGAGCTATACTTCCAGAGAACTGTCAGGAATGCTGTCTTCATGCAGATGGAAGTTCATATGCACCTCGAAAGCAGAAAGAGAGCTCCACTTTCTAGTTTCCCTTCACTCTGGTTCCTCTATACTCTGCCTTTCTGGGAGGTATTTGATCTCCCCTCCTCCTCATAAAAGATTCTCTTGCTCTTTTTTTTTTTTTAAAGATTTTATTTATTTATTTATTCATGAGAGACAGAGAGAAAGAGAGAGAGAGAGAGAGAGAGAGAGACATAGAGAGAGAAGCAGGCTCCATGCAGGAGCCCGATGTGGGACTTGATCCCAGGACTCCAGGATCACGCCCTGGGCCAAAGGCAGACACTCAACCGCTGAGCCACCCAGGCGTCCCTCTCTTGCTCTTTTGTCCTGGTCTCTAAGTCCATTTCTTTTCCCCCCACCTGACTAGAAAGTGAAAGTGTGAGCTGAGTATTATAGTGTCCTGGCCCCAAACTCCTAAAGAGAAAAACCAACCTCAAAGGCTCCTTCCTTGAAGGGTGCACAGCACTTTTAAAAATATTTTATTTATTTATTTATTTATTTATTTATTTATTTATTTATTTATTTATTTAGAGAGCACATGGGCCAGGGGAGGGACAGAGGGGGAAGGAGAGAGAGAATCTCAAGCAGACTCTACACTGAGTGTAGAGCCTGTGTAGGGCTCTATTTCACAACCTTGAGATCATGACCTGAGCCAGAATCAAGAGTTGGACACTTAATCGACTGTAATCGACTGAGCTACCCACATACCTCTCTCTCTCTCTCTCTCTCTTGTTTTTTAAGTAATCTCTATGCCCAACACGGGGCTTGGACTCACAACCCTGAGACCAAGAGTTGCATGCTTTACTCACTAAGCCAGCCAGGCGCTCTTCATAGCAGTCTATTCTGACTGCATTATAGCACCAACTTTTCTTCACCTCCTGGGAACTCTTTCAGGGCCGACGCAGAGCCTTATTTGTCTTTGTATGCCCAATACCCCCCCATAGGAGACACAAGGGGGACCCAGCTGTGCTCCTTCCACTCAAGCCTCCTTTCCTTTGAGGTTACCCTGGCCCTCACTCCACTCCACCTGCTTGGAGGATGACAGACAGGAGACTCCTTGGGTGACGCTCAGGTGGGTCACGAGCAGCGTCTTCCCAGCAGTGGAGATTCACTGGCCTCGTCCTTTCTCCTGTCAGCAGTCCTCTGTAGAGGAGGAGTCTGCTCCTCAGAGCCAGTCCCGAAGCCTGACTTGGGGGTAGCGAGGAGTGAAGCCATAGATCATGTGCCTTCCTCGCAGGTTCTGGCTGCAGCCCAACTTCCCCTTAGCGTCTCTTCTCCCTCACCTGGCTTCAGCCCCCAGGTCTCTGCCTTCCTCCTTCCAGCCATCACGCAGCCCCAGGGATGGCTCTGCAGGACGTATGCAAGTGGCAGGCCCCCGACACCCAGGGACTATCGCCGCACCTGCCTCCAGCCGGTGGCTGGTCCGTGCCCCGGGGCTGTGACCCTCAGACCTTCCTGCGGCTCCACGGCCCCAGGCTGGCCCACGGCACCACCACGTTGGCCTTCCGCTTCCGGCACGGAGTCATCGCTGCCGCGGACACGCGGTCCTCCTGTGGCAACTACGTGGCGTGTCCGGCCTCACGAAAGATCATCCCCGTGCACCGGCACCTGCTGGGCACCACCTCCGGCACCTCGGCCGACTGCGCCGCCTGGTACCGCGTGCTGCGGCGCGAGCTGCGGCTGCGGGCGCTGAGGGAGGGCCGGCTGCCCAGCGTGGCGGGCGCCGCCCGGCTCCTGTCCGCCATGATGTCTTGCTACCGGGGGCTGGATCTGTGCGTGGCCACGGCCCTGTGCGGCTGGGACCGCTCCGGGCCTGCGCTCTTCTACGTGTACAGCGACGGCACCCGCCTGCCGGGGAACGTCTTCTCGGTGGGCTCGGGCTCTCCGTACGCCTACGGCGTGCTGGACCGCGGCTACCGCTACGACCTGAGCCCCGAGGAGGCCTACGCCCTGGCCCGCCGCGCCGTGGCCCACGCCGCCCACCGCGATGCCTACTCCGGGGGTTCCGTAGACCTTTTCCACGTGCGGGAGGACGGATGGGAGTGTGTGTCACGCGACGATGCCTGCGTGCTGTACTCGGACCCGCAGAGGCTTCCGGAGCCCGGGGAGGAGGCGGAAGAGGAGGCCCGCCCTGAGCCCGCCGCCCTGCAGAGACTCCAGGATGCCCGCGGGGACTGAGATGCTGGGAGAAGCGGGAGAAGCGGCAGGACCTGGGGGTGGGGGCTGGGCACCGGGGCAGCCGCCTCACAGCACCGGCTCCGGCTGTCCCCAGCTGCGTCCCAAGCCCCCGTCCCCGTCCCTTTCTGCCTCCCAGCGCTGTGGACAGCTTGGTCCAGCATGTTCCTCCGGGTGCCGAGCCTCCTCCCCACCGCCACGTTCCCGCCTCAGCAGACCCTCCCCACCGGCCCGCGGCACACCGCACACCGCACACGGGGCTAATGCGAGACCCTCCTCACCACCTTCTGTGCTTCCCATTCCCATTCCCGTGCTCACCTATGCTGGTCTTTGTCACTTTGTCGCTTTGGTCAGGGTGGTTGGGAGTGGAAGAAGGTGGGGCGGGGGCCCAGGCTCTAGTGGGGACTGGGGGTAGGGGGCGGGGGCGGGGGGGGGCAGGGCAGCGAGGACCGTGTGGTGGGTGGCAAGGGGCTTCTCCGGGCTGCTCTTCCCTCGGCCTCCCCCCTGCCCTCAGGGGACTCTAATGACTACAACCCCAGCTCCTTCAGAATGCCCTTCTCACGAGAACTCTGAGGTAAAAATGATCCTTGCTTTACCCAGGAGGAAACAGGTCCAAAGGCTTATGTGACTTGCCTGGGGTCGCACAGTAAGTGGCAGAGATGAGGCTTAGAGCTCGGCCTTCCTCTCCAGAGCTGCGCTCCTTTAGCACAGCCTGGCCTTCTCCATCCTCTTTCTCGCCTGCCTTCTCTGCCCAGGGCTCTGCAGGCACCTGGGAGTGAGCTGGGGGAGAAAACAGCCAGGCCAAACCCTGCTGAGTGACTGGGGTGAGGAGCCCGAGGGCCCCAGGGCCGCAGGCTGCCGGCCCCCACTACCACCAGGGCCTGGAGCCAAGGCCACAGCCTGAGGGAGCTCAGTTCAGGTCTTCAGGCTTGTCACTGTGGCTGCCAGACTTCTTTTCCTCTTTCCTCTTCTTCCTTTCTTCCCTTTTGCCGCCTTTCCAGCCTTTCCTTCCTGCCCCTCCCTCTGGGGAATGAAGAAAAGAGGGAGGTGGGCAGCCCGGGTGGCTCAGCGGTTTACTGCCGCCTTCAGCCCAGGGCCTGATCCTGGAGACTCAGGATGGAGTCCCACGTCCAGCTCCGTGCGCATGGAGCCTGCTGCTCCCTCTGCCTGTGTCTCTGCCTCTCTCTCTCTGTGTCTCTCATGAATAAATAAATAAAATCTTTAAAAAAAAGAAAAGAGAAGAGGGAGGTGGCCGTGCCAGACAGAACTATTGGGCTGGCGCATCCTCTCCCGCCCTTCCTGCCCATCTCCAGCTCCCATGGAAGCCCTGACTGGGCAATGCCTGTGCCCAGTTCCAGGAGGGACGCCTTCCCTGCCCTGCCCTTCTCCAGGCAAAGCCCAAGGGGGGCGGGGGGGCGGGAAGCACAGTCAACCAAGACATAGAACTGGCTGGGAGGAAGGTTGCTGAACCTTCTTTCTCTCAATCGGCTCCTGTCAAACTTCCAGGCCCAAGATTACCAGTCCCCTTCCTCCCTCCCCGCTGCACACCCCTCCTCTCAGCCTCCAGCCCACCTCTGAGCCCCAAGCTCTAACACTGCACTTCCTGCTAGGAATTCCTCCAGCTGGAGCTGGCCAGACAGAGGACACCCTCAGGCTCTGGCCTTCGGGCACGATTAGGAGGAGGGAAGAAAGGCCAGGGAGTCTCAGGAAAGAAAGCACTGGAGGCAGAGGGAGGAGGAGTGGCTGACAGGTGCTTCATACAGGAGGGCTGGCATTCGGGGCAGGGTCCAGGAATCTGGTCGGGGTTCAAGTACGGGATTGACTCAGGCATAAGAGGGTGCATACATACAAGCACAGAGTTGTATGAGGGTCTGTGTCCTGGTGGCAGTGAGTGACCCCGTAGCTCTGTGTGCACCCAGATGTGGTAGGTGTCCAGGGAGGAGACAGGAAACAGACTGGGAGAGAAAGAGTAACACCTGGATAAGGAGAGCAGCCAGGCTCTGATCCGAGAGAAAGCTGGGCCTTGTCACTTATTTTGGAGAAATGGTCCAAAGCAGAGACGAACTGGGGGCAGAGCTCATCCTGTTCATTCCCCATGGCTGCATCTTCCCATTCCTATCCTAAAGCACTAGGAAAGAGGAAAAGTGGTATGTGCCTGGGGTTGCCACCTGAGCCCTGTCAAAGGCTCTGGAACTGCCTGCAGCTAACTCCCCAGGGATGCTCTGTGCCCTGCACCTCCCCATAACCAGGGTGGGGTGGGGTGGGGTGGACTGAACCCACAGCGAGGGCAGAATAGGAAGGGAGCTCCTCCTTCTCCTGTCTGCGTGCCCCTCCTCTCCCTCTCCTTTCCTTCCAAGGTCCTGCCCCCCTCCACTCCCTTTGATACTATCCTTCAAGATGATGAAGTATTTGAGACCAGAGATAAGCCCAGGGCTCTTGCTGATGGGCCCTGTTGTCCCTCCAAGTTTAATGGAGTCAGAGTCGGGGCAGACCTCAGGAAAGCTGGTAGGGAGGTGGGGAGAGAAGGTGAGGGCAGCATCCCATGCCCCTGCATGCCTCGCCACCTGGGAGCAACCCATGGGTGAGTCTCTCCCTTTTCTCCACTTATTCCCAAAGGCTTGATGCAGATGTTGGGGTGAGGCCAAAGGGGCAGAGAGTTTGCCCATCCTGCCCTGAACTGGAAAACCCTGTCCTTCTGACACCATGCCTGGGGTGTTGCCTTCTAATCGGCTCCTTCACCAGGGACAGCTGGTCTGCTCTTGCACAGGCCTTTGGCCAGTCAGGGGTCCAGTTCCACTCTAAACAGTAAATGCCAATCCAGCCCTAGGGCAGGGGTCCTGTTCTCCTGCTATCTGGTTGCCCTAACCAAACAGGCATGGAAAGTGTGAGAGAAGGCCTCTTCCCACTGGAGTAGCTTCCCCGGAGTGGCAGCACCCTACACTGGAAGGGGGAGGGTCATGAGGACCTGTCCTGACCTACCTCCTTGTATCACTGGGAGCCCTGCCTGGAATTAGGACCTCCCTTCTCTGCTCAGGGAGTGTACACTGAGAAATGATGGCCCTCTGCTCAGCTCCCACCCCAGCTGACTTTGATTGGGTCCCTTGCCCCCTGGATAGCTAGCTTCCCCAGTCCCCTATTGATTTTGAGATCAATAAGGGATAGGAGAGTTGGCAGTGGGGGTACCAACAACTCCCTGAATGGAGAGGGACATGAATGGACTGCCCCTCTAAGAAGAAGGGAGCCAGAGGGGTTGGGTTGGGCCTCTCCTCCCGCCCTTCAGCACAGTGAAGCTCCAGTGAAGCTCTGTACAGAAACCTGCATGCAGAATTGGAAATAGGGCTCCAGCTTTAGAAAATAAAGTGTTTGTTTATTATGAAATTAGAGATGGAGGCCCCTCCCCTTCCTCCCTTTTTTTCCCCTTCCCCAGCTGCCTCTCCCTTTCCTTTCCCACCCCTCCCCCTGGGGTCTGGGAAGCACACAAGACAATGCCCAGAGCTGGGATGCCCAGGGCAGGCCAACAGCAGGGCAGAGCTCCAGGGAGGCGGCCATGTGGGGGGCTGGAGCTCTGGCCCTGGGAGGTGGGCTGGCATCCTCTCTCTGCTGGAGGCCAGTGGAGCCAGGATGAGGCCATGAGTGATGGATGGAACCATGCGGGCAGGTCTGGAAAGACAGGAGAGCCGGGGGGTGGGAGGTTGTGAGTGGAGGAGGGCTTTAGGCCATCCCTGTGCCTGCACCCTCTTCTTTCCCCTCTCATCATCTAGAGGCACTGACCTGGGGCCGAACATCCCCCCGCAGGAGGGTGGGCAGCAGTGGCTGGAAGTTTCTCTTGCTTTTGGGATGGACAACAGAAAAAAACTGAAAAAGCCAGTCATAGGGACCCGGAGAGAATGCAGGCAGATGTGGGCAGAAGACAGACACAGAGCATGTGTGTGGGCAAGGGAGACAGAGAGAAGGTGTGTGAGAGATTTAGAATCCGGCAGACGAACACAGAGTCACGGAGAGAGTGGAATCACAGTGAAAGAACAGAGAGATTCAGAGTCGAGCCACACAATCCAGACCTAGACAGGAGAGTGCTACAGAGAGAGACAGATCCTGGAGGGAGACAAACAGACCACTCAGGAGGAGGGAGGTAAGAAGGAGGTTGCCCTGGGGAAGCTGGGAGGAGGGACACAGGCCAGAGGAGGCCTGGGGGGCTCTCCCGCGGGCTGCTGCCGCCTGCCTGGGCCCTGGGGTGGACCGGGGGCTCACTCAGAGGGCCTGTGCGGGCTGCCCCACCACGCGGCAGGCAGGGCCGGGGCGGCTCTCAGGGGGCCGGGGGCTCCTTGGCCCCGTACAGCTCGGCCAGGGTGCGGAAGAGCGGCCCCCAGTCATCCAGCGGCTCAGCAGGGCCCAGGGCGCCCCCGGCCTCGCTGCAGGAGCCCAGGGAGCTGAGGGAGCCGCAGGAGGAGCCGCGCCCCTCGTAGCCATACACCTGCACCGAGTCGTAGGGTGGCACGCTGGGGTCGTCGTCCGCCTCACGGAGCCTCAGTGCCAGGAGCTGGGCCACATCGGCGGGCCCCGGGGGCCTGGGCTGGCGGGGTGCCCGGGCCCGGGGCAGGACGTCGCGGCGTGCTGGCGGCCCGGGGTTCGGCGGGGCCGCCCCATCGGGGTTCTGCAGGGCGCTGATGTCGAAGGCCTCCGTGTCCTCCTCGCCACCGCCCTCGTCATCATAGGTGATGATGTTCTCGCGGACGTCCTCCTCCTCCAGCACCATCAGCGCCTCCTGCTTCTGCCTCCGCAGGGCCGCAAAGAGCACTACCAGGGCTGGGGGGGGGGGTGGGGCGGAGGGTGCACACAGGCCTCTGAGCCCACGGGGCCGGGGGCAGGGCGGCCTGCTTCCTTCCCTTCCATCCTGCTCTCAGGTAGAGCAGGTTGAGAGACAGAGGACACAGGGAGGCCTAAGGGTGGCGAGACCCGGCTTTGACATCTAGCAAACCCTCATCTGAGTCCTGACTGCACCCTGGACTCCCCGTGTGACTGTGGGCCGTGGCTTCGCTCCTCTGAACCTCTCTGCCCCTTAGAGAGCTTGTGTGGAAAACACGGAAAGAGTCTCCCTCAGGGCTCTTGAAAGGATGAAATGAAATAGCACAAGCGGGGTGCTGGGCATCACACAAGGTCCCGAGTCAGGCTTCAATAAACACTTTTTATGGCTTGTTGCTGTCATTGCCGATTGGTAATGTCAGGGAAGTGAGGCTAGAATTTTTCTCTTGGACACACGAGGCAGTGGGAAAATCCTTTAAACCCTAGGGTGGATTTCCCCATTTCCGGGGGCCTGGCTCCTCTCTACATCCCCTACAGGCTTGGACCCCAATCTATGTCCTAAGGTGGCCTGACTCACCAAGCAGGGTGCCCACGCAGGTGACGATGGCAAGCAGGGCCCCAGTGCTGAGCCCTGTGGGTGAGAGCTGAGCCTCGGGCCGGCAGGAGGCCACAGAGCCATCAGGTCGGCAGCGGCACACGCTGATAGTCACTGTGGCAGTGCTGCTCAGGGCCGGCTGCCCCCAGTCCCACAGTTCTATGGGAATCAGATAGGGTGCCTGGCGGGGTGGAGCAGGGCGAGAGGGCAGCAGCAGGCTGGCAGAGCCATCTGTGGGAGAGGGAATGTATGTGGGAGAGGGCCCCCTTCTGAGACACCTTCCCAGGAGGGTGGGTGTAGCCTAGGGAGACAGCTTCCAATGGGGAAGGTGTGCAAAGAGTAAATGTGTGCAAATCCACTTCTGCCTTCTGTTAGGTGGAGGGAGCCCAGATGTATGGGAAGGGGTTAGGCAGGTTGGGCCAGAGCGTGGTAGGGGAGGAGAAGAGCAGGGAGGTGGGCACGGGCACAGTTGTAGGAGGCTACCCACCTTGGTTGTCGCGGACAGTGAAGTTGGCATCGGGGCCCAGAGGACCCTGAAGGGAGACTCGGCTACTGTTGCCCACTTCATCTCTGTCCAGGGCCCGGATGATCTGAATCAGCTGGGAGGAAGAAGAGAGGCCTTGTATGGAGTGGGCAGCTGGAGGTCTTAAGCCAAGCCTTCTGCCTCAGCAGCTCACCTGGCCAGGGGCTGCAGAATCACATACGAAGGTGTCATAGGGCTCAGCCAGCTGGGGAGCGTTGTCATTCTCATCCAGGATCTGGATGGCCACTTGCACACGGGAGACCTGTGTGGAGCTGTCTGAAGCCAGAACATGAACACATGCACCCCCCCTCACACAGAGTTTACACACAACACACATGGTGCATGTGCAGGGGTGCCACATGTGCACACAGCATGCACATGCAACACATGGTATATGCATGCAATATGCAAGCAACAGTGTTGTGCAATGAATGGAACACCACCAAGAGCATGCAACATTCACATAAGAGCTGAGATGTATGCAGTGTGGAACATACATTCAACAGGCATGAAGCACCCATAAGATACATATATAGTAACCCACATGCAGGGCACATGCCTCGTAAAATGAAAGGTAGACAGAAGGTGCCATACAGGAGGCACACGGACAGTAGGCCTGAAATAAACACATTCATACCATAGATTCGATGTATACTCAGCATTTAAAACAAATACAACATATATGAAGTGGGTGTTCGAGATACCCAGTGCATTCAGTGTCACTCCAGAGTCAAGACAACACATTTTCATACACAGCACTAGTGGGACAGACAGACACAGACAGACACACACACACACATGCTCCATCAGAGGTCTGGGAGGCTCTGGTATAGCAATGAGTAGGACTAAGAGTTGGCCTTGGGAGCCAGGCCAGCCTGGGTGCCACCGCCATAAACAGGCCCCCTTTTTCCCACGACCCTTCATTAGGTGGCTCCCCATCATTACCCTGACTTGCTCCTCACTGCCAATGCCACCCAAGAAAGAATGGAAAACAGGTATCCCTGCCCACCCTACTGCTCACCTCTCCTGGCTGAACCTCCCAGGTTTGTTAGTCTTCTCCCAGGTGGGGAGAGAGCTGGCTGGCCCTGGGGGAGGGGCTGGGGACCCAGCCTGGGCAAAGGCGGCTGGGTGGGCCCCCCAGCAGGGGCTTTGGGGCTCCCTTCCTTTCTGCAGGAAGGGCCCAGGGCCCGCTAGTTGATATCAGGTTTGCTGGAGTGCAGGATTGGTGGGACGGTGAGAAGGCAAGGAGGGAAACACGCACACACACAAGCACGCATGCATGTAGATGGTTGGCTATGTATACCCAGGCAACTACAAACAAACACGCTATATACACACACAGGGACATTCACACCACAGACATGCATGCAACGCCATGTCACGCACAGCCACATGGACATAAACAGAAACCCATCCACTTAAAATTCTACACGTGAGAGGCAAGGTGGTGGAGGAGATAAGGGCTGTGACTCTGCAGCCTCTCAGGATCTGGTGGCTCTGCCCCTTAACGTTGGCGTGACCTTGGGAAGTTAGTTGACTTCACTTTGCCTGAGTTTCCTTATTTTCAAATGGGGACATAAGCATACCTTCCTCATAAAGTTGTGGTGGTGATTACGTTACTTAGTCCACATTTGGCGCTCAGAACAGTACCCGGTACACAATAAGCAATAAATACTCTGTCCACGCACACTAACATACACAAAACAATATATACAACAGCTACGAGTACCTGTCATCACATACAGCTAATTACACGTAAGCACAAATACTCTACTCAGTTGAGACACACATATGTGTGTATGTGTATTTTCACACACATGGAATTTCACACTTGCATGTGCACATACATACATACGGCTCTTCAGTGACACACACAGACATCTATGCACACAATGACAGTCCTCATAGATGGGACACGGGCAGTAATGGTAGGAGACCTTGGGGCGTGAGCAGGACTGATAAGGGTAGGTTCACAGAGGGGATCAAGGTCTCCCTGCCTCCATGGGCCGTGGCCACCCAGAGGCAGCCAAACCAAGCTGCTGGTGACTGGTAGCTGACAGGGGAAGGAGCTGGCCCCTCTCTTCTACCTTGAGGGCTCTCTGCATGGCTTCCCTGGGAGGGGCTGCTGGAGCCCTCCCAGTCAGCCTCCAGAGGGCTCCTGGCTTCAGCCTGAAGCGGCCAGTGAGCAGGGCAGGGCAGGGTCTGCCAGGGTGCAGCCTGGGGTTTCCTAGGGGTTAGGAGCTACTTGAGGTTAGGTCTATTTCCAGATGGGGCAAGTCAGGTATGGGAGTGAATTTCAAGTCAAGGGAATGTGTAGGCAGATCCTTCGTGCCCAGGCCAGCCCGGCCTCAGAGACTGGGAGGCCTGCCTGGTGGTGATGATCCAGGCTGGGAACCCAGTGCTGTGCCCTGGTGAGGCGTGGTGGCAGTGACCGCCTCCCCCCTGCCGGCTCAGGGACAGCTCCTCTGCCAGGTGACTGTGGCCTCCTCCCTCTCCTGGGGGCCCAGGGCTCCTCACCGAGCTCTGTGGCCAACACTGTGAGGTTGTGCCAGACTCGAGCCTCGCGGTCCAGGGGCACCACCGTGCGGAGCGTGCCAGCTTCCGGCTCGATAGAGAAGCAGCGCTCTGGGTCCGAGTGGGGGAGGATGGAGTATCTGGGGAAGATGGAGCGGAGCTGGGGGCTGATCTGGGGGCAGGGCCAAAGCTTCCTGCTACTCCTCCCTCCCTTCTGTTCACCTTGCAGGGCCTCTTGGTTCTTCTGGGCAGAGAGCCTGAACTCTTTGGGTTTAGCCTGCCCCGCGTACCCAGGGCCATAATTCACATTAGGGTCCCCTTAAAAGACAAACCACTTGGAGGAGTCACCAACATTAAACGCCTGTCTTAAGACTTGGGGGGACTGGGTTTCATGGTGGGGGAGAGACAGAAAGAGGTGGAAGGGGGGATAAACAGCCTGTCTTTTTGACTTCTGGGCTCTGTTCTGGGGACCCAGGGACCCCAGTCTTGCTCTGCCTCAGGCCAGCTGTGTGACCTGGGGTGAGTGGTTTAACCCCTGTTTACTTAACTACAAAATGGGAATGACACCAGCACCTGCTTCATTCCTGTGACAGGGAAGCCGAAAGGTGGGAAGAGTGGACTCTACTCAAGGCAGACAAATCTGGATTCTGGTCCCAGCTCTGCTGCTTACTGACCATGTGACCTTGGGCAAAGAACTTAACCTCTCAGGGATGGGCCTCTAAAACAACTGGGGATGAGCGTGCCTACCTCACAGGGCTGTTGTGAGAACTGAATGTGATCAAGTGGGTGAAATGTGCAGGGCCGAGGGAGTGACCAAGAGTGGTAGCCATCCAGGCACCCAGCAACAGCATCATCAGATGAACTTGCAATCTGCTTGCCCTGCCACTGGGAGGCACCACCGCCATCCTCCCAGAGGGATGGGTGGAACTGGGTGATGGGAGGAGGGTCCTTCAGGCCTTTCCCAGCCCCCAGCCCTGCAGGGAGGGAGACCTCTGCCAGGAGGTGAGTGGGATTTTCAGTGAAGGGGGCCCATCCTTGTTCCTTCCCTGAGGCCCGGCCCTTGGCCCTTCCCTGGCCCACACCCCAGCTCACCTGATTGGGCTGGCTGGGGAATCCAGATCGGCCGCTGAGACCTGGCCTACCAGCGTCCCAGGAGCTTTGTTCTCAGGCACTGCCAGGTGATAGGCAGCCTGGGTGAAGGCAGGTGGCTCTGGGGCGTCCTGCACAGCCACACGCACGGAGGCCACATCCTTGAAGGGCCCTCGCCGCAGGTAGGCTGGGTCGATGAGGGTGTTGGTGGCCTCCACACGGAAGGAATAGGAGCGACGGGTCTCGAAGTCTAGGGGCTAGGGGGCAGGGAGTGGGAGGGATTGAGGCACGTGGAAAGCCTGGAAGGTGAGAGGTCCCCTCCCCATGCATCCAGTGCTCAGCCCACCTGAGAGGAGAGGTGGGCACTGAGGGCCAGTGGCCGTGGTGGTCAGGGGGAAGCAGATTACTTAGTCTGTGACACTAGGTCTGTCCCCAGCTCCATCAGAGCCTGGCTACATTTGAAGTCCTGGACCAGTCTCTCCCCCTTGCTGGGCCCCAGTCCCTCATCTGAAAGAGGACGAGATGACCATGATCTCTAATCTCCAACGCAGTGGTCCTGAGTCTGTTCTAGACCGGTCAGGAGTGTGCCTCGTGGGGCAGGAGGCAGGTACGAGCACGCGTGTGCAAGTGTCAGGGGGCAGGGGGCTAACCTTGCGGACAGCGAGGAGCCCATCTCGACCCTGGGAGTCTGTGCTGATGCTGAAGGCTTCAGACCCCTCTCCGTCCAGGATGCTATATGCCATGAGGGCATTGTCCCCCAGGTCTGGGTCCTGGGCCCGCAGCCGGCCCACCAGGGTGCCTGGCCCCGCTGTCTCCACCACAGAGAACTGGTAGAGGCCTTGACGGGCCGCGGGGGGAGGGGAATGACAGGAGACATTGTTAGGTCCCCAGCACTTCCATATCCTGGGGTCTGGCTGGGGGGAGGGCTTCTCCCAAGGCTGCAGGGGGTGGGGGTGGTCAAAGGATGGCTCCCCAAGCATCCCTAGCCCCTTACTCTGAGGGAACTTGGGAGGGTTGTCGTTGACGTCGCTGAGTGTGACTGTCACTGTAGTGCTGCCCGACAGCCCCCCCATGTGGCCGCCCATGTCCTTGGCCTGAATCACCACCAAGAACTCCTCCTGGGTCTCCCGGTCCATGTTGGGGACAGCAGTGCGCACCACTCCTGGGGAGACACAACGGATCAGGGGCCACCTGCCCGCATGGCTGCCCCACCTGGCTCCGAGCTCTCTCCTTACCCGTCTGGGGGTCCACAGAGAAGAAGGGCAGTCCATCCAGCACGGTGTACACCAGCTTGGCGCTGTTCCCGTAGCTGGGGTCATCGGCATCGTGAGCAGTCACCTGGATCACTGATGTCCCTGTGGAGGATCCCGGCACCCCACTCATCAGGGGCAGGGGCAGGTGGGAAAGAACAGCACATGAGGGGGACCCAGACACGAGAGCAATGCGGGGAGGAGAGGTGAGGGTGCTCTGGGAGACGGGGCCTGGGACGGTCAGAGTTGGGGTACTCACCGACATTGGACATCTCGGGCACCGTGGCGTGGTAGGGCCCGAGGGGAAAGATAGGTGGATTGTCATTAATGTCTTGCACCTTGATGATGAACTCTGACGGGGGCTCCAGAGGCCGGTTTGAGGCTCGGTCCACGGCTTGGGCAAGCAGAACGTACTGTGCCTTCTCCTCCCGGTCCAGGCTCTTGGTGACATGGATATTGCCTGTGGCCTCATCAATCACAAATACAGTGCCTGCCCCCTCCCCGGTCAGCAGGTACTTGGTGCGGCCCTCGCCCCTGTCCACATCCGAGTGCAGCTGTAGGGGTCAGGGAAAAATGGCAGCAGGTTCCAGGCACAGGGACAGGAAGGGTGAAGAGTCTAAGTCTAGGACTGGGTGGAGCGTTGGGACTCCTGAGGGACCCAAGGTCATTGAAGAAGTGGTGAAGTTGCAGGGCAGGGCCTAAGGGCCTAGAGAGACAGGGTAGACTCGGGAAGGGCTGGTCCTTACCTTACCAATGAGGACGGGCTCTGGACCGGCATATTCCTCAATGACAAAGAACTGGTTCCACACCCAGCTCCTCCGGTTCCGCAGCAGCACTGGTCCTGGGCCCCCGCGGGACCCTGCCCAGGCCTGGGCTGGGGCGGCCAAGCGCCCCATGCAGCCCCAGCCACCCAGCCAGGCCAGCAGGAGCCTCACCAGGCCCCACATGTTTGGGCTCCAGCCAGGGCTCTGTTCACTGTGTCTGGGTACTGAGGCATGAGCCGGCCGGGGTGGAAGGGTGGAGGTGCTGGGGCTATCCCATGGATCCACACCTGTAGGGCAGGTAGCTGTTCAGGGTCGAGGAAGCCCTTGACTCTCCCCACCCCCAACCCAAATTAGATGCTGAAGATCAGCCCTCCCTCCAGGGAACCAGACACCCCACTGCCTGGAGCCCAGACGAAAAAGAGCACACAGTCTGATCCCCCCCTCCACCCAGGCTCTGCCTATATTCACCTCTAGCCCTACAAGCTGATAAATCTCTAGCCAGTCAACTCTGAGCAGAGAAGCTGGGGAAGAAAACAGGAAGGTGGGATGCCGAGAGCGTATGGAACCCCAGATCCGGCCCCTGTTCTCCCAGGCTGGGTAAGCAGCCAGCTGGGGGGCTGGAGGAGTTGGGGACTCCCAGGAAAAGGGCTGAAGATCCAGGGGCTGGGACTTGCGGAGGTGTGGTCTCAGGGTGTCTGGGGTCAGGCTGAGCTATGATAAGGAGTGCAGCTTAAGACAGGGTGGAGAGCCAGCGAAAGTCCCTCCTCCACAGGGAAGCCCACCTCTCCGGGTGCTGCCCCCAGCCCACACTGCCAGCTGACGTCCTTGAAGGGGGATTGGGTTCAGGAGGCAGAGTGGGGTGAGGGGGCAGGAGCCTAAAGAAGAGGGGGTAGAGTGGGGAGGTGGGGTGGCAGGGCCAGGAGGCTGGGAGGGGAGAGCAGACTCCAGGCTCCCTGTTACTGACGTGAGACCCAGGCTCAGGCACTGTCCAGCACAGACTGAGACAGAATGGCAGCACGAGACACAAGGAAAGGGACCCCAGGAGGCAGCCCGGGGTCTGACAGGCAGAGTCACAGGTAACAGGCTTGGGGGTGCGGGGGTGGGAGGGCTTCCTGCCTGTGATGGGCTGGCGGGGGCAGCGCTGAGCTCCGGGGGTCGGAGCAGGCCTCGGGAACTTCAATGTGGGAGAGGAGGCAAGCCAGGAGGGGCTGCGGGAAGGCGGCTGGGGAGAGGACCCTTCCCACCGCGGTGTCCACCCTCTCCCCCGGGGGGGACCCCTCCCGCAGCTGTGGCTGCCGCCCCTCCTTCCCTGGAGCAGACACACACCTGCCAGTCCTTGCCCTCCGGGGGGAGAAGAGGGGAAGCCCGAGGGAAGCCGGGGACCAGAGCGGGAGGCGGGACGAGGAAGAGGAGGAGGAGAAGGAAAGGGCTGGAGGAGCGGGGAACAGGATAGCAGAAAGGGGAGAGGCGGCGAGAGGGGAGGGACGGGGGAAGGAAGGGAGAGCGGGAAAAGGCAGAGAAGACGGGAAAGGAAAGGCAGGGGAAGGAGACGGCAAAGGGGAAGAGGCGGTGGAGAAAGACAGGGCAACGGGGAGACGGAAGGGGCAGAGGAGAGGCAAACTGGCGGGGAGGAAAATGGGGAAAGGAGGGAGGGAGAGAGGTGCGAGGGAAGAAGGGAAAGCGAGCGCGGGAGAAGGGAGCCGGCAGTGGGCTCCCCGCCGCGGAGCGCACCGCTCGAGGACACCCGCAGGCTGCGGGCCCCCTGCTGCCCCTCCGCGGGTCCCCGACCCCGGGGCCGGCGCCCTTACCTGGCAGTGCTGTGGAGCCCAGGCCGGCGGGGAGCTTCCCCCCGCCCCCGCCGCCGGGTCCCGGGGGCGCAGCCCCGAGCGGATCCGAGCGGGCGCCGCGGCTCCGCTGCAGGTCTGAGCGGCCCCGGCGAGAACAAGGGAGCGAGACGGAGGGGGCGGGGGAAGGAGGCTCCGCCTGCGGAGGAGCGAGGCGGCTCCGCGGCGCGCGGGAGAGAGCCCAGCCTCCGACCCTCCCCGGCCAGCCCGGCCCGCGCGGCGGGGGCGGGGGCGGGGGCGGGGGCGGGGGCGGGCGGGGGCGGGCGCGGGGGCGGGGGCGGCGCTGCCGGGCCGCCCGGCGCATACAGATGCGGCGCCCCTCCCGGCCGGGCCCGCAGCGGCCGGCGGGGCACTCGGGCGGGAGGACGTCCAGGCCCCGGCGCCAGGCGTCTCCCAAGGGCTGGCTGCGGGGAGGGTGCAGCCGGGAGCGCCGAGCGGCCCCGCACGCCCCCCGCAGGGGGCGACGGGCGAGCGCGCGGTGAGGCGGGGACTTGGGAGCCGGCTGCGGAGAGGCCCGGCTCCCGCTCCGCTCCGCTCCGCTCCGCTCCGGCGCCGCCTCCGGGGCTGCTGCGAAGCCGGCCGCAAGGCGGCGGCACTTGGGGAGTCCGTGCGGGGCAGCACAGCCGGCCGACGGGGCGGCGAAGGCCGGCACAGGGTCCAAGGGAGTCCGCGGGCTGGGCCCACGGAGCGGGTCAGGGACCGAGGCACGACAGCGGCGGGAGGGGACGGCGGTGGGGAGTGGAGCCTTTGGGGAAGCGCTTTACCGGCGCCCACTGAGCGAGTGGCTGCCGCCCCCTGGTGGCGAGCAGGCGACCAACTGCCTCTACCGCCGGGCTGGAAACTGGAAAGGGACCCCCCTCTGCCCAGCGGTCTTCCCTCGGCCTCTCGGCCCTCCGTGGAGAGGCGGGCGGGAAGCGCGGGCTGCAGGCCCGAGTGCACGCCACAGCCTTCCTCTTCAAGTCAGTTCGCCTCTCCCCCAGGCCCCGCCCAAGGATAGCCAGTCACACACACTATTTAAAACTAAGTCAGATTTTTATTATTTTCCATAGACCACATCATTTAATAATAAAAAAAATAAAAATAAAAATTGAAAAGGAAAAGGTGGATATAAAGTGGAACCTGTGGGTAGGAGGCAAGGGCTGCAGGACAGAAGAGACTGGGAACTGCAGGGGCCCTGGGACTCAGGAGGAGATGCTGATTCAGCTCATAGGTGACCCAGTCCTGGCCCCGGCTGTTCCCAGGAGGGGGCTGTGAGTACCCAAAGGAGGTGGTGAGCAGGATGGAGGAAAAATGAGAGGTTTGGGGCTCCTGGCTGCTCCTCACCTCTCTGGGCCAACCACCTTCCTCCCTAACCTAGCTCTTTCCTCTCAAACTTAACAATGGGAAATGAGAGGGAGGAGAGGGCTAACTCCCAAGAGATAGGTTATGGGGGTGGGGCTTTGGGGGGAAAGATGGCCACTGATCCATTTGGTATGTGGGGACAGGTGGCAGCCATACTTCAGCACTGGGTAAATGGTGTGAAAGACCCCTGGTTCTGGGGAGGTGGAGATTGTACCTATCCCTCTGTGGCCTTGAACCCCCCAGGGGCTGATGCCTGCAGCTCTCCCTCAAGTGTTCCCAGCTAGCGGCGCCCACCCCGGTCCCGCACAGGCGTGCTCCGACTCCGGCTCCTGCTGTGGCGTTTGGTTTCTCTGCGGTCTCTCTCCCGGCCTCGCTCCCGGTCCCTCTCCCTATCCCGATCTCGATCACCCCTGTCACGCTCCCTTTCCCTCTCTCTTTCCCTGTCCCTCTCTCGGCTGTGCTCTCGCCGCTTCTCCCGTTCCAGCTGTCGGGTCCGTTCCCGTTCTGCTTCCTTCTCCCGTTCCTTTTGCTCTTCCTCTTCTTGCTCTTTTCGCCGCTTCTCCCGCTCCTTGGCCCGTTCAGCCCGCTCTGCCTCCTTCTGAACAATCTGCAGCAGGCAGCAAGGGCAGAGAACAGGGATCTCAGCCCCACTCATGCCAGTCCTGCTTTGTCTCTGTGTACCCAGACCCTACTCAGGATCACTAGCTCAGGATCACTGCCAGCTTTGCAATTAAGCAGGAAGAGGGGGAAGTGTCAGCAATCACATTGGTCTTTGCTTCAGGGTCCCAACACAAATGTGTTCACCTTTTATACCCACAACAGGCAGTGGCACCATCCATGCCTGACCTCTGGTACTTCCCTAGCTACTTGGAGGTGAACAAACGACTTTTCTCTTTAGCTGGGTCCATCAACCTCCAATTCCCAAAAGCTCCATTACAAAGAAACGTAATTTTAAAAAGCAAAAAATCTCAGGGGCGCTTGGCTGGCTCAGCGGGAAAGAGCATGCAACTCTTGATTTTGGGATTGTGAGTTCAAGCCCCACATTTGGTGTAGAGATTACTTAATAAAAATTAAAAAAAAAAAAAGTAGAGAAATGAGAAACTGCTGAGTTTATAAAATGGACTTCTCAGCTAACTGAAATCAACTTCCAAGGATGGCTGACACAGCCAGCTGCCTAAATATACAACTCCAGTTCCTGTCTTGTGTCGTTTGCACTCTTGGGTCTGGCCTCTCTGTGGCATACTGTCACCTGGTTCTTAAGACTGCCCTTTGGTGATGCTAAGTTTCTTCCCTTACTGTCCCCCTAAGCCAATGCCTGGGCCTACTCACTCCAGTAGTCACATGACTTGCCCCCTACACTGCCATCAAGCCTGGGCCCTGCTCTGAGTGCAGCAAGAGGGTTAGCACTCACCTGGCTGTCAGTCAGTGGGAGCCAGTAGATACAGGGAGCTGCCTTGGTCTTACGGAAAAGGTCGTCCAGCAGTTTGGCCGGTGGTTCCTCCTGAGCTTTTTCTGAGGTGGAAGCAAAGGAGTCAGTCTTTACGCCCAAAGACCCTGTGTCCCATCCCATTTGGGTCCCTTTCCCACCTACTAGCAGGTATGTGTGTCCCCACAGCTAAGTACCTTTCTTCTCACTCTTCTTTTCTTTAGACTTCGCACGTTCCTTGCGGCGGCGGTCACGGGACCGTGATCGGGAACGGGGCCCTTCTCGAACTTTGTCCCGATCCCATTCACGCTCTGATCGAGTTCGCTCCCGCCGCTCCATTTCCCGTTCCCGCTCTGCCCACTGTTCCCGCACCGCCCGCTCCTGCTCCCGCTGCTCTGCCCGGGGGTGCTGTGGTGGCTGGGCTGGGGGTGGGGGCGGGGGGTGCAGGGGCCGTGGTACCCCCTGCTCCTCTGTCTTAGTTTCAGAGGGACGGTCCACCAAGAGGCCCCGGTGATAATCCAGCTGTGGGTAGAGGAGGGACAAGGACAGTCAGGATGGACAGGAGAACACTCCCACTGAAGGAGCCCAGGTATGTACCAGGGCATACAGATTTTGGAGTCCCATGGTTCAACTAAAGGAACCAAGGGGTAGGGAGAAGAGGGAGAAGGAATCTCAGTGACTGCAGGTTTGGCCAGGATCTCAGCTGGATTCTAGCAGATAATGGCCTCCCCTGCCCCTCCCCTCCTTCCTTTCCCTAGGTTTCTCACCTCATCTTGTTCAGCATAGTCAGCACAAAGGAATTTGGGATTGGACTGGGGCCATTTGACCCCATGTAGAGCTGTGCGGGTGGCAACTGCCTCCTCTACTGTTGAGTACTGGTGGAGGAAGGGAGAAGGCAGAGGGTCACAACAGGCCTCAATCCCTCCCACTTGCCACAAGGCCCTCAAACCTGCCCACATTGTTACAAAAGGAAATATATGCCACAACCCAGAGAATCAACTTCCTCCCCTCACCGTTACAAAGCAGTGAGATTTGATCTTGTCAATCCAGAAGGCTTCTTCCACCAGAGTTCCTGTCCGGCCCAACAATTCCTTCAGTTGGCCTAAAGTGAAGGGACGCACCTGCCAAGGAAAATGGAGTTTCAGAGTCTTGAAAAAGGCAAGAACAATACCCCTGTAACTAGTCTTCAGATTTCCCCAAGTATATGGTACAGGAGTACAGCCTCAAAGTCTGGGTGCACAGGGGCCAGGAACTCTCACATGGGAATGAGAGAAGAGTGAAGAATAGTAACACTAACTGACACTATGCACCAGGCCCTCTGCAAATCCTCTAGATGACCCTGCACAATGATACTCTGTCCCCATTTTTCAGATGAGGAGACTGGTTGTGAGAGATTAAGCCAGTCACTCAGTAAGTAAATAACTTAATTGGCAGATCTAGGAGTTGAAGTTAAGTAACAGGAATCCAAAGCTCAAACTCTCAAACACTAAACAAGGCTGTGCTGTGGGAAACGACTTTGGCTCACCAAATTGGAGATGTGGACGATGTTACTGATCTTGCCCCGGGGCGGGGAGGGCACCTGAGCAGTTCGGACTGGGTCATCAATTGTAATGGAAACTCCAGACTTTTGCTGGCTAATGGAACGTCGAGTTAAGGTATCTCCTAAAGTCACTATCGAAAAGAGAAGACAAGAAACAGTTTTCAGCAGGGAGCAATACTGGCTCTCTTCCCCCTGCCATGCCTTTCTCTTATTCCCTAGCATGCAGTCACTCTTCCATCTACTCTTCCATTTAACTGTGTTCAGCAGCTATAGCGTGCAAGGTACCGTCTAGGCAAAGCTCCTCATTACGGAGCCTCACAGATTTTAACCTAGCTTTCAAGAAGCTTAATAACTAGGAGAGGGAGGTAAAACATACACAAGATACTATAATAAAAAGGAGGAAACATGAAACCCTTTAAAAAGAGGTCCAAGGATGCCCGGGTGGCTCAGCGGTTGAGCGTCTGCCTTTGGCCCAGGACCTGATCGTGGAGACCTGGGATCGAGTTCCACATTGGGCCCCCTGCATGGAGCCTGCTTCTCCCTCTGCCTGTGTCTCTGCCTCTCTGTCTTTCATGAATAAATAAAATTAAAAGAGAGAGAGAGAGAGATCCAAATAAAGTGCTATGGGAATACAGGGAGCCACATGCTTCACCTACCTTTCTTTACTTCATGCTCCACAGGTGGGGGCAGAGCCACCTCTACGGACACCTGAGGAGGTATTGGGGGTTCTGCTTCAGGCTCTTTCTCTTCTTCCTCTTCTTCCCTCTGCCCATTCTCCTGGCCCTCTGCAGGTACTACCTGTAAGGTATCATATAATGGGCAGAATTCTTAAAACACCAAACTG